GTAGATAACATTATTCATATAAGTATGTAACAATATAACGTAAGTGGCAAACACTCTTATAAGAGTGTTTGCCACTGAAGCTGATCATCTCAAAAAAGAAGCAACGAAAATTCCTCATATTACTACTGAATCGAATAAAATTCAGGCACGACGGCTTGTACTTAACAAATTTGAAGGTGTCGATTGGTCTGAACACTTCTTCTTAGAACTGGTTCAGGAAAGACTTGAGAAATGTGATTTTTCCTTATTGCCTTCTAAGAAAGATTTGGTTGACGTAATGATAATGTTATGCATGCGACCGGCAGATGTTGCTGGCCTTTGTATTAATAAATATGAAGCATTGGACGAGATCTGATATAATCCTGACTATTCCTGGTATTGTACTGGCTACTCTAAAACTAAAGAAGAAACAAGAGTAGGAAACCTCAGCCTTTCCTCTCAATGGAAAAGGATCCAATACGAGCAAAGGAGTTTCTTACCTGGATTCAGAAAGCAATACCAGAAAAATTCACCTTCTTACGGAAAAACAAAAGCGGTATAGTTAATGTAAATCCAATTAATCTCACTCTAGCTAAACATGGAATTACTTCGAATAAATTGAGGAAAATAGGAGCAGATCATGCTAGCAGGATCCATGGAGGTAGGAATGATTCTTACCGCCAATATTTACGAAAGTTGGCTTGCAGACAAGTAATAGGTCATCATGAATCAGTAGAAAGATATGGCATAATGAACGACCCACCTTCTTGCAATTGTTCGAAGGCATCCCTGAAGAACCAGGTAAAGATAAAAGAAAAAGTGGATTAATCCTGATAATGATTTGTATATATCTGTCCGATCAAGCAAACCCATTCATGCTCTTCGATGAAAACTAATCACATATATGGGTTAGAGGGTCGGGATATCAATGTGCATAATTTTATTTTTTCGTTCAAGGTAAGATTTAGTATATAGAATATATCACGAAAATGGTAGCCGATCAAAAGCATTCATCTGATGCATCCAAAGAGCAGGAAATTACCAGATATACGAAGATATTAGCCCAGGTATTTAGACTAAACGAGCAAAATGCAGAAGTATATAGTGCACTTTCCAGTGAAAATAGAGCTCTAGCAAAAAGGCTGGATCATTATTGTTCTTAGCATAGAAAGCTTAAAAAGAGAGTTAAACCACTAGAAGAACGTGTAAAGTGACTGGATGATAATGTAGACGAACTATTTACTATGGAACATTGCAATTGTAGTAAAGAATCCATAAATACTTCGTCTGAGTCCAGTTCATCTGAGGAATTCAATTCTGATCATGCATTACCAGAAAAGAAGGTAGATTCAGGCAAAATAAAGAATATACGCGAAGAGAAAATCTGACAATAAGGTGAAGCCAAGAAGGTATCTGATCCAAAAAATCTGATTTAACTAGTTATCACTTTGCGCTATAACTAACCATATTTTCCGATTGAAAATTTTTCTATCATATAAAAATGCATGAATCGAATTTACTTGAGCTTCTTCCACCAGAGTTGATATCATTTATTTTAAAGTATCTTTCAGATCTAAAACATATTAGCGGTATAAATGACATATGAGAAAGAGAGGTGAATCTTAAATGGCCCAAAAGGGCAATTCTCACAGATTTTCGATTTAGGATTGACATAAGCGCTAATGTAAATTTCATTAGTGAAAAAATTGTGAAAATAGTATACGCAAAAGAAAATAGTATTCCTAGAGTATACGGGTTTCTAGATGAGTCATATTTCACATTAGGAAAGGTTAATCTACATATTATCTTAAATAATGGTGAGAAGCATAAAATCATACTCACTGAATTTATAGTTACTAGGCCAGATTGGCCTGATCAATTTCCTGAAATACTTTTGGGCTCACCATAAATGCGAGAAAATAGTGTATGCTTAAATATGTGTAATTTGACACTAACAATAGATGATAATTTTGTGATCCTCCTATATCAAAGTTAAATCCGGTCTAACCAATAGTCTAGAGCGGTGATCATTGGTGCAGAATCACATTTTTTTCAATTAAAGATATAACATATAATATGCACTATGTATAACGCAATCAAGCATCTTTTATTTACCAGAACTATTAAAACTGATTTTACATTTCTTGATGATAGATAAATCCCTCTATCCCGCTCTATTTGTTTGCCGATTGTGATACAGGTATACCATTCCTAGCCTATGGAAATGCGTTGAGCTAAAGGAAAAAGATAGGAAAAATTACTGACGATTGAATCGACTCCAATTGGAAAAATTTATAAAAATAGTGCGTAAAAGATAAAAACCAGTTTATAGTTCAAGTATAACACATCTTAAAATTTCATATTACCATTCACTTTCAGATAAAAAAATCAAAGACATTGTGAGTTCATGTCCAAATATAATCCATTTGAATTTTAAAAGAAGTACAGGGTTTTCTGATAAAGTGCTAATTCTAATAGCAGGAGCATACCCAAATCTAAAGTATCTCAATTTATGCGATTATGCAGATGCTTATGACACCTTTTATCAAAGATTTACTAATAAGGATCTACTTGCGATATCGAGCTCATGCCATAAATTAGAATATCTTAATATTTATCTACACACAGGAATTACTGAATTAACAATTTGTAATGTTATTCATTCTTGCCCAAAGCTCCAGCAACTTAACCTTAGCTTTTGTCAAATTACCAATATAACTATCAAAGAAATTGCTTGTTCATGTCTTAATTTAAAGTACCTCAATTTGGAAGGGTGTAATAATATCAGCAAAGAAGCCGTAAATCAGCTCATTTCACTTAATCCAAATATTAATGTCAAGAATTTTGTGCTGATTCGGGTACCTCCCCAAAATAATGGAGTTTTATATGTGATCCATAGACTCACAAGGCAACTGGGAATACCACATGATGCATCAAGAGATGTTACATCCTTAAATAATTTTATCAACAATGAATTATCAAGGAGATTGAGTGAACGCTGTATTATAGCTAGCCAGTTATTATATTGACTTAGAATCCTTTAAGACCAGATCATGTGAAGCATTCCAGTTCAGAAGATTTTTTTTTGCTGAGCCACAATGCATGTACTCCTGTGCGACAGAAACAAGCAATAATTAACCTATTTTTCTGATTGAAAATATTTAATCAATCTACTAGCAAAATGTCAGATGACGAGATAGATACTGAGATAGAAGAAGGCTATGATGAATTTATCAAAGAATATGGATCGAGATATGAATGGGATAATGAAAGGAATCCCGATGAGTGGAGATACTGGGATGACCTTTTTTGCATAATCAAAACCTACTGGAGGACAAAGGCAGTTAGGAATTGGAAAGAGAAAGTGCTTAAGCAATTTGTACATAGTCTGCCCAATGTAAGAAATCCATCATCATTATTTCATGTATTTATACATTCCGATGCTTTCTATCTTTCACATATTTTGAGTCTGATAGAATTGTCATATTATCCGCATAAACTTCGATGGGAAATATGGCCGGAAGGTATTGAGAAGTTCTAATATAGATTGTTTATTCAAGGTGAAGAATCAATAGTGGATTACTGTTTAAAGGCGAAAAAAATAATGATATCATCAAACTCTGTAAAGGTCATTTTAGAAGTGAATTCTATAGTGGATTAACACGAGAAAATATGAGATGTATTGCAAAAAATATTTATTATCGTAAATTGGTAGAAATGCTTATTCAGGCGAAAAAAGAATCAGTGACTGGTATTATAACTGGGTTTAAAGATTATATTAGTCAGTCCGGTATTGCTAATCTGAATGGGATACAATACTTATTGAGAGGTATACATTGGATAACTAACCTGAGCGAAGGTAGTCTGGAGCAGTGATCATCAGTTCAGAAGATTTTTTGCTGGGTCACAATGTATGTACTCATGTGCGACAAAAATAGGCCGATCACATAATAGGTCTGTGCGATATTTTCGCATATTAATTTCGCATATACAATATACTCGCTAACTAATACCTCCATTTTTTTCTCAAACAAACGTGAGAAAAATGTGAAGAAGATCTACATGCAACACAGGACCTACCCCGTAAGTAAATAGTGCCGACAAAAGCATATGTTATGAAAGGCTAGTGAAGTCACAATTTCGAGATCGGCAGACGTAAAACTAACTTTATGTCTTTCTAGTAGATCTTCATGTGAAAGGGTATGAGAATTCCGTTTGCATGTACTTTCATGAAGCTCTTGGCATTACTAATTACGTCTCATACCTCCTTAACTTTTTCCTTCTCAACAGCAAGATATAAAGCATGTAGGAGTATGTGAAAGTTCAGCCAACTTTCCTCAAAAAATTTTCTAGAAACATGACACAAAACAAGGTATGTATATGTCATAAATTATGTATGTATGGGGGCGGTTTTTCTCACTATGGCTCTTGTATTTAGGAATCGAAAATGGCCGATGACATCATCACTCTCAATTGTCTTATCATTCCTATAGGAATCTTATGAATATTCCAGGTATTAAAGTAATACAAACAATTGTAGTTCGCAAACATGATAATCCTAGTGAACTCGAGGCTGAAATTCAAAGCAGATTGGGGGCATCATTTAATAAAATCCCTCTCAAATTTTGTATAATTCAAGCTGGAAGTGGTATTGAAAAGGAAATGGACGGGTACGATCAGTTTTCTGAGATTTTTTCTTTTGATGAGGAGCCTAAAGCAGAGCACTTCCATATCACTGTATACCCCAAATAATTTTCTGTATCATGTAATAGCGATATAGTCGCAATTTTATGTATTGTAGGCCAGCTTCCGGCAACATTTTTATTTCATAAATAAAGTATTATTATTGTACTGTACATGAGAAACGGGTCACGTGTAATGATGCAATGCCTATGCGACATAAAAAACCTATATTAACATCCAGTACTTTCCTTCTCGAACAGAAATAATTTTCGCTGATAATTCACTTCATTCATGATCAGCAATAAATAATATTTTTTTGTCTGATTTTACGAATTAATAAATAGATTGGTTTTTTCGAACTATAGTGAGAAAAAAAACGTAACACACTTTTTTTTTATTTGAGCCTATTATCACTATAAAAGTGCTATGTCTACCTCAATAGCTGAACACGACTCTTACTTGGTTGAGAACTGGGATATAGAAACCCTTATTGCTTTTTTGAAAGAACAGAACCTCAAACTAGACGATAAGAAGCACTATGATATTCTCCATAAACAAGAGGTTACGGGTCTCTCCTTTCTTAAGTTGACTGAAGAGAAGCTTATAGCCCCGCCTTATAATTTTCTTGGTGGACCAGCTTTATTGCTCGCTGAGGAGATTAAGGCCCTCAAAGAAAACTGAAGCGCCCGTTCTCCTCATATAAGAGTTTGAGTAAGGTATTAGCGAAATACGGTATTGATTCCAATGGAACAGAAACCATCCCGATTTTTTCCCTACAGACTTACAAAATTCAGGAAAACAACAAGTACTTTGAGCATTGTATGGATAACATTTTGTTTAAGATGAAAATTACAGATCTTTGGTTGTTGATAGCTTGGAGACTATGCGTAATGAATACGTTTCAACAATACTTCATACTTCCCTCCATATCGCCAGGAACATCATGAAAAAAGAATTTAGTATGAGACCTGAGTACGAAATAATTGGTGATGAAAGTTCTGAGCGGGTCGATTACGCAATTAAGGTATAAGAATTTTTTCTTGGTATTTTTTTCAAGAAAATACTTAATATCATACATCTTTCAGGAGTCTGAGAATCTTATTTGCGTCACAGAAGACAAAGTCCAACGTAGCATCCTTGAAGATTTCGCCCAAAATATCAAGCAACTCGAGAGTTCATATGAAACGAACAAGAGGAAACAAAAACGTGGTGATGATAATTTTGATTATCTCTATGGTATTGTGACATCGGCCAGAGATTGGCATTTTCTGCTTTACAGTCCAGATGTGATTAGTCAAGCGAGTGAAATCCCTTACACCATCGAGTTTAACAAGAAAGCCTTAGATAAAAGTTCTGAGAAATATCAAATAATGCGTAGCGGTGTGAAGAGGGTTTTAGGTGCAATTGTTGGATTAATAAAGGATAGGACGTGTGCAGATGAATCTCCTGAGAATAAGAGAGTTAAAATAGAGGAATATCGTTTAAAAAAATAAGCATATAAAATAGTCCACTATTATTAGCATAGAAAATCCGTCATGTATTACGGGCAAAGTCCCGATCTTTATATTTATTTTTCGCATGTATTAATAAAGTGGTTTTACATTTGCACGTAACATTGAATAATTCTTTCGTATATGAAAATATTATCTATCATGACATCTGAGTTTGAAGTATTTATCACTAAGCTTGAGGTTAAGAAAACTGATGAGAAAGCTAGGCTCACTGAGCTTGAAGCTAGAATTTTAAAACTAGAGTAGGATCAGGCAGAAAGAGAAGCTAGAATTTTAAAACTAGAGCAGGATCAGGTAGAAAGAGAAGCTAAGAAAAATCGCAAATTTCAGATTAGATGCATCCAGATAGCCAAGGAAATTCTTCATGAGGAGCCGATAATTGAGTATCGCCCTTCTTTCTTGAATGGATTAGAACTTGATGCTTTCTTTCAAGATCATCGAATGGCATTAGAAGTGCAAGGGGCTTAACATCGGTTTCATAGCACCAGCTGGTATAAAGATGTCAAAAAACTCGAGGATATTGTTAATCGTGATCGGCAAAAAAGATGCATTTGTCTGGATAATGGAATCTTTCTTCTTGAGGTATGGTATGACCAAAAACCAGAAATTGTTATCCCAGAAAGAATACAAAAAATTAAGGAGTTCGTTGATCAATCATCCAAAAGTTTCGATCTCCTATAATCAATAACCTTTATAATACATGTAATTCATTGCTCAAAGAGATATTTAATTTTTTCGCATATTCTTTTTGTGCTAGTAAATTTCAATGGCTCTGGCAACAATCAAATGAAGCGAACTCTGGCAATTTTAACATTTTTGTAAATTGTATTGAAATCAAAATCACGTGCTAAACACAACTTTGCGAATTTTTTTCAGACTATAGGTTGTTTTAAAAAAGAACTCCGGTCAGCATTATGAACAACAAGACAGTCCACCACTTTAATAACGTTAATATAAACAAATATTCTGAAATGTACACTATAATACGCCACCAATATACAACGATTATTGAAAGATATAAAAACATTTAGTAAATTGTACATGCAGTATTTTGGGTACGATTACAAGCTAGAAATTCTAAACAAACCCTAAATATAAATACATCCAAAATATAATTATTATAATTAAAATTAAATCTCTTTAAAAAAGTTTGAACTCGAACCTACAATATTATTGATCTGATAAAAATCTGGAATATTGCGCACATAATGAATTTATTGATGCAGTGTGATTGGCTCCCTTCGATTTTTATAAGCTTTCGCAAGTTTAGTTACACGCCCCTGTAAATGCATAAATATTACAATAAATTTTAAAATAGTAAATAGTGATATGTATTGTATATAACATATGGCATATACAGTACCTCTAAGGCTACAAAATAAGCAAAATTTGACTCGAACAAGGGTAAGCTTAGTTCATCTATCACCAATTTCGATTTGAGGTACGCCCATGATCGATATATTCCATTGTATTGCAAGTCCATGATATATGTTTGGACGATATCACCTGCAATTTTCAATAAATAACTTAGTAGATAATAAAGAGACAAGTTATTAGTTTCATAACAATGAACTTAAGAACAAACCACAATTAAGAAATATTGCCGATTCTTCTGGGCCGCCTTTTAAGGACAAAAATTGATTTATGGTCTTTCCTGCCTGTAGATGGGATTTTACAATATCCTTTTTTTGATTTAAAGGACCACAACCCAATGGTTTTATTTCAGAATTTAACACAGAGATCCCATCTACGGTGCAGGAAAGATCCGGTCTTAGTTTGGTTCCTTTTACTGAGCGATCCAACCGTACTTTATAATCTTTATTTCTTCTTAAGAAGATCGGATTTATAAATGGATGGAGGAACTTTGAGCAATGTTCTTGTTCGGACATAGTCCTAGGCACGATATTGGGCACATTTTCTCGTCTTAATATGTTAAAAACAAAATTTGTTAAATGGATTCTATTAAATGAATGAGTTAATGAAAACTTACAGCTCATTGAAAGTTCTTGAAGAAGCTCTACTCAGCAGAGTTTCATCCGGATGCATATAACTGTCTTGGCCTGACAGGTGTTTGATAACGGCTTCATGAAAAGCATTGGACACTGGGGTTGATAATACTGGCTCGCGTATTGTACACTCCCTGGCCAAAAGTTTAGGACCACCCGATAAATTTAAAAAAAACTTAATTTTTTTATTAAATTACATTTTA